CCCTGGAGAAGGATGTCATGCTTGGTAGGGTGGAGGGTCAATGAAAGAGGGGGAGGCCTTCAACGAGATGGATTGACACGGTGGCTGCGATGATGGGCTGAAGTATAGCAGGGATTGTGGGGCTGGCGCGGGATCAGGCAGTGTTTTGTTCTGCTGTGCATGGGGTCGCTATGAGTTGGAGACGACTCGACGGCACTTAACAACAACAACAACAGTTCTTGTCAGAGCGGCACTAGGTAACAAGAACAGTAACCAGTGTCACAGAATGCTGTATGTACAAACTATTGAATGGGAAACTAATTGGCTCTGTAAACTTTCATCTAAAGCACAATGAAAAAAATTTTTAAAGACATGCCTTTTTCTCTAATCCTGAGATTGGATTCAAAACACACCATTCACTGCCTTAAGAACAAGTCCTCCTCAGCTCCCAAAGCTCAGCCCTTACTACTGGAACATTAATGAGTGCAGGAAGGAGGCCCCTGAGATCTTTAAGCCAGGGCAGAAGTTGCACCTTACCAGTGGGAACGCCATTATCCTCCAAAGCAGATATGAGTGAACCACGAAGAGAAAATCCACCAACCGGCCTGTTATCTTCCTGCAGAGAAGCAGACACCTAATTAGGAATTTTATGAATACACAAAAGGAAAGAACTGTGCTCTCCCCAATAACCAACCACAGGCCAACTGAAGAAGTCAATGTAAGGAGGTTCCGGCAAGATGGCGGACTAGGCAGAAAGACTGCACAGACCCTCTTCAACAAAGAAAAGGGAAACCAATTAAATTAACACAGACAGAGAAGATAATCTTGGACCCCTGAGCCCTGAAGAGAAAGATATAGAAGTGGACTAAACCCCAACTACCAGAAGAATTTGCGTGAAAATACCAAAAAAGAAGACATACGGAGCTGCAGTCTGGCAGCAATCCTGAGCGATCCTGACGGCACAGACAGCTTGGAGATTCCCAAGTGGTAGTAGGACCTAAGAATTAACCTAAAAATCACCCTGCCAGCCAGGGACTGCACGCAGGACTGTGCACGGTGGCTGAGGAACAAACAAAAAAGGTGAAGAGAAAGGTGGGCTGAACTGTGGACTTCTCCCGGTCCGAAGGGTGCCACCATTTTGAAGGTTTAAAAAGCAGCTTGACTATTTTGGATATTTAAAGAGACAGCGCTTTCACAGATTCCTGGGGCTTAAGAACACGTTCTGCTTTCCAGCAACCCCAAGGACACTCGGAACCTGCAAGACTGAAAATGTACCACATTCCTCCTGTTACTCTTATACCCCACACCCGCTTAGTGAAGGGAGGTACAGCCATCCCCCACTCCCACCTACCTTCTGGGCCTACAGGAACTCCATCATAGTCTGTGTGCTCAGACGGAGCCTGGGTGCTCTGCCCTGTCCTCCACCAATTTTTTTTTCTTCTCTTTTTTTATTTTTATTTTATTTCCTTCTTTTTTGCTTTCTTTTTTCTGGCGATTAGTTTGCTTGTATTTGTCTCTTTTAAATCAACTAATATTATTAATACTTTTATCCTTTTTATTCTTAATCTTCCCCTACCAGGTCCT